CTTGTACCCTACCCACAGCTAACAGTGTAACCCATTTAACGATCCAAGATGTAGCAAACGACATAAAAGAATCAGCTTTGCAAAATCAAAATCAAGGGGGCAAAAAACTTTGAAGGATTATTTTTGTTATCAAAGAGCTCAAGAACATAACTTTGTTGTAAGTCTGGTACCAGCAGAAAACAGTGCTCCAGACCTCACTGCAAATCTTCTGTTGCTGGTTCTGTAACCAAATGATATAATAACTGCTGTAAACAAAATATGCACTAGCCTTGGTGTTTGCAGAATTACAGTCTCATTGTCACCCAGGCTCTAGCTATTGCCTATTTCATCAAAAATTGGTAGAAATTTCTAGTGATTCCTCTGCAGTTTCCCAAGGGAAACAGTAAGCACTTAGCAGTACAAAGGACGCTACAAAAGCAACTGGTGCAGGAAAAGATGTCTTTTTCTTACTTACAGTTCTTAAGAAAATACAGATAAGATACTGATGTCAAAAGCATAAAATCAGCATCTTAGAAGCCCTGAAAAACTTCTGTTCACATAAGGCAGCCAATGTTTCAAAGGACAATAAATGAAGTGAATGAAGTTCACTGGTGAAGAAGGGGTCCGGCTTGCCCAGGGAAGTAGCAGGGTCCTCGCCATGGCTCACAGCTCTCCTCAGATCTTTCAAACAGCTCAGGCAGCAATGCTAACATGAAACAAGAGCAGCAGAAGCCCCAGCTCTGCCTCCTCCTCCAGATTTAGGCAGGGCGAGTGTTACTGCTGGGAACTGCTGCCCTCTGCTGTCAAATGAAACAGGCCAACTTAGTCTGACAAAACCAGGTTTACTGCTACACATAAATAAAATCTCCCATGATAAGAACCAGCAGTTCACAGGACTGTCAGATTTCAGGTGGGCTCACCCAGGCCCCTCAGTTCTGGTCTTACACATTTATAAAACACCTAGCTCTTCTTGCAGCACAGACTGAGAGGCCTCTTGTAAACCAAACTCAGCCTAAAGCACGATTTTACCCAGCCCATCCCTTTTGCTGCAGCCGATTCAGAGGCAAAAGCACTCAGCTGTTAGTCTGCTCAGCAAAACACCTCTTACTGCCTGCAAATCTTTGTCGTGGATTGTAAACATCACCAGGGAAAGTGTCAGCCAATATCCTGCCCGCAGCACAGAACCTGGACTAGGCTGAAGGAATAAAAAGTGTTCCCTCATTCCTGTGGGACCAGATGTGCTCCCTTCCTTGTCTCAGCCTTCCCAATGACAGTGCCACCAGGGAGATCTGCCAACCATTATAAACACTGGCCAGATGGGGAAGCCTAAGTGAATTTGAATTATATTTATGAATGTTTTGAAGTTGAGTAAAGACTGAGGTCTGCATATAAGGATACTCTGCAGCTCTCATGCAGGAAAAACTTGGCCTCATTTTCCCTGAGACCTGCACGTACTCACAATAAAAGAAAAAAACAGTGTAAAGAAAAGAGAAGACCCACTGTGCTTCAGAGCCGAGCTCCAGCCTGCCCCCAGTACTGCAGCACCCAGTTTGCACTGGGCCCACAATGGACATATCACATCTGCCAACTTACTTGATTTCCTCACCAGCAAAATCAAACGTTTTGGTGATTGTCACTTTTCCTGAATCTTTTGGCTTCTCCTGAGGCTTATTCCCACTGTTCTCTTCTTCAGCCTACAAAATACATGAAGGAGAAAGCAAAATAATGCATTTGTGGAGCCAAGCCAAATTATTATTCCAAAGGGCTGAGGGCCCAACGCAGACCTTGGGTAGTACTGTAATTTAGACTGGTGGTCAAAACAAGCCACCCATAGACAAGATAAAGGACATAAATAAATTTCATTCCACAAGAATGAAATTCCCTATTTTGGTTCCATGCTGTCGTTGAAGCTCTAGGATTAAAACAAACTACAACAAGAAGTGAAATTGTAATAAATGTAGGAAGGAGCAAGAATACATTGCAGTGGTTGAGAAAGCAAGCAAAAGCCTGAAGACTTGGTTCTCTTAAACTAAGCGCCACTAAGTAGGAAAGCTGCCAAGGTGAATTTCATGAAAGTATGTTTATTTTTACTCAAGAATAGAGAACAAAACTCATCAGCAGAAAAAGCAGTGCTGATCTTCCTACTTGCCAATAACATCTTTTTTATTTCAGAAGGAAAAATCTTTATTATGCAATTTGTCAACAATGCCTCTTAATTTTCTCAGTCACAGCTACAGCTGCTCAAAGGATACATAAAAAACCTCAGATACTGTAAGTTACCAAAAGAAAACCCAAATTCTTGCTCTGAATCAATCACACAACAGAGATCTTCAAGCAGGCAACGCAAGCCCAAGAAGTTCACAAAGAGAACAGAGGAATTGCATGTCTCCATGAATTATTCCAGGCTATGGAGGAACTTTCAAAGACATCTCACATTTTAGCAACATGCCCATAAAAGTAGAAGTGCAGAAGAAAATGTTCACTTCTGTTCTTCCCTCTGACTCTACAAGTAACCACTCCAGCTGTTCAATCAGTAATAAGGAGAAGCAGGAGGGCTAAGATTAAAGGACTTTCCTTCCAAAAGTTGCAATCAAATATTACAAAACTACACTTGCTCTGCAACCTTCCAACAGTCACAGAAAGAAGCTTCACACAGTCAGAACTGTACTCACCAGGCAGACTCCAGACTTCTGTTACTGAACATTTATTTTGGCTGACCATTTAAAAAACCCCAAACTGATAATTCCAGCAACAGAGGCTCAGTTGTGGTACGTTCTTCCCTTCTACCACTTAAAGCGTGAAAGGTTTTGACAGGGAAACACATGCACTTGGTTTTACTGAGAAGCAAATCCTTTTAAATAGCTACCACACATAGAATTCTCTCTCCAGAAAAAGCTCTGTACACTGAGAGCACCTTACTGGGGCTCACAAAGGACACAAGAAAGCCAGATTCAATCTTTCTACAAACGTGCAACATGCAGCACCTTCCAGAACCCCTCCATGAGGATGGAGGCACAGAGATGCCAGCACAGACCTCTCATGCTTCCCCATTCACACACCCCACACACACACAGAGACCCTCCTTTATTTTTTTTTTTTCTTTTAAGCATCAGGAAAGGCACGAGGGAGAGCTGTGCCCACAAGCACAATTCAGACCAAAGCTCATATCATTCCTATGTCAAAAGAGGAATCCATGACTGAGAAGGGAAGTCAACAGGGCTGTGTAGGACACTCCAAGATGCTGACAAACAGCTCCAAAAGCAGCACCACCTCCACATTTGAAAGGAAACTGGCATCTTGAATTCTGGCCCATCAGGGGATGTGAGTCTTACAAAGCAGAAGGGGCAGGGGCAACCCCAGCCTCTTCCCAGCTTTGTTCAACACCTAATACCAGCCAAAACCAAGACTGCATGCTCTAAACCTTCAGGCCCTTCCCACACTCCCTCGGTGCAGGCCCAGGCCCCCATTACCTTCTTGATCTGTGTCACTTGTGTGGTGGCTGCTGCTTTGGGCTTCTGTCCTACATCACTGAGGAAACTGGCCCAAAGAGCATCCTCTTTCTTTTTTTCTTCTTCTTCTCTTCTTCTTTCTACTTGCTCTACATTATCCACTTCATCCTCTTTCTGTTCCTCTCCATTCTGCTGGGCCTTTTCTTCCTCTTTCTCATCTGGATCTAGCAAGAGACCACCTTTCTTCTTCTTCCTGAAAGCAGATGCCAAAAAAGAACAAAAAATGTATACGGAACTGCTGCAACACTATTCCAGAGCTGAGCTATAGGCTTGGGTGAAGCAACACGGTATTTCATACTTCTACTAAAACATCCAATCTGGGAGATTATCTCTTAACCTTGGGAGTGTATGTATTTTATTAACAGATGATGCTGCTCAGAAAATACAGCGAGACTGATGCAAGCAGTGTCCCTGAAGTGAACTGGCCCGTTTGCATGCATTTCTATGAGTATATAATGTGCTGAAACACTGGCACAGGTTGGCCAGGGAAGCTGTAGCTGCCCCATTCCTGCAAGTGTTCAAGACCAGCTTGGATGTCGCTTTGAGTGACCTGGTCTAGTGGGAGCTGTCCCTCCCCATGGCGGGAGGGTGGAACAAGGTGGTCTTTAAGGTCCCTTCCAACCCAAACCATTCCAGGGTCCTCCTGGTAGCAACCAGAAGCGGAGGAGAACGTGGGCTAGACAGAAACCAACCTCAACTAAACTATGTACATATTTGGCTGACGGGAGAAACCCCGTATGTACGTGCTTTGCACTGGAAAAGGTTAATATAAACAACTCCTGCTGGGGAGGGTTTTCAGGCACGATGTCCGTGGAGTTCTCTGCTCCTGCCACTAAACCGGAACGCAGAGCAGCGTTTCCCGTTCCTCCGCCCCGCAGCGTCCCAGCGGCGGCAGCGGGCCGGATCTCAGCGGCCGTACCTGCTGGCGGGGCGGCGGGGGCTCCTCCTGCCGCGGGGTGGCCGCGGGCTGTCCGCCGGCTCCTCCTCCCGCACCAGCTCGCTCTCATCATCCTCGCTGTACTCCGCACCTGCAAGCATAGACAGTGAGCGCCGGGACCGCCGCGACCGCCGCTCCCGCCCGCCAACACTCACCTGAGGGCACATAGTCGTCATCCTCGGCCGAGGAGTACTGCTCCTGCTCCGACTCCGACCCCGACATGGTGCGGCCCTGGCCCCGCCGCCTCACTGCACCTCCCGCCCGCCGCCGCCCAGAGCGCCGCTGCCGCCCGCGGCCGCCCCCTGGCGGACAGGAAGAACAGCAGCACCTCCGAAGCGACGAGAGTCCGCCGAGCGGGCCAGAGCGTCCCACCGGGGGTTCCCAGCATTCCTTGCGGCCCACAGCCGTTCCCATGGCAGCGCGGGGTCGGGGCGGGGCCCGGCTGCCAGGAAACCAGCGGTGATTGGTGAAGAGCCCTGTCTGTCATCATACAACCCTTCCCATTGGCTGCAGCGGGCGGAAGAGGATGGGCGGAAGAGGCGGTGACGGATGGCGGCGGCGGGGCGGGTGCAGGGATGGAGGGTGGCGAAGCGGGTGGCAGTGGCGGCGGAGGGCTCCTGCAGCAAATTCTCAGTCTTCGCCTCGTGCCCCGCATGGGCAATGGCACCACCACCTACTCCAGCCCCCTCTCCACCTTCCCAGGTACCTCCCTATTCGGAGCGGGGCCCGCTCGCCGGGGTCTCTGGACGCCTGCGAGCCCTGGGCCGTCCTCACAGCCATTCTCTCCGCAGAGATGTGGTACGGCGTCTTCCTGTGGGCAGTCGTCTCCTCCCTTGCCTTCCACGTCCCGGCCGCGTTGCTTGCGCTCTTCACGCTCCGGCACCACAAGTACGGCAGGTTCATGTCCGTGAGCGTCCTGCTGATGGGCATCGTGGGACCCATCACCGCCGGCACCCTCACAAGTACGGCAAGTGCCCGGCAGTATCGGCCGGGGGGTTCTGTGGTGATCAGAGGTTGCCTTCGGGAGCACGTGGAGTAGCGGTGTTCCCTTGGACGGAGATTAACGTTCTGGCTTCATTTTCCCTTGCCCCACGTTTGAAAGAGTTGGACCGTGCCCCGTGTCGAGCCTGCATCGGGCATACCAAACGTGCCCATTGCATGCAGAGCCAAGGGGGCGTTCACATTTCTGAGCACCTGAAGGAAAATCTCTCAGAGGTTTGGTGTTAGTGTCCAGAACTGGGTAATGTTTGCAGCCTGTGGGTGGGGGATCCTGTGACAAGGGTATGTCCCAAACGATCCCAAACACTACACCTGCTGGAGGCCTCAGCAGAGTTTCAGTACCAGTTCAGCCATTGCCACCAGCACGCACTGGTTGCTGGCTGAGGTTTATCAGACATCCCCAGCACAGCATTCTTGTTTGCTGGTGTGCAGGGAGAGGTTCGGAGCCCACTGTTCTCTGTCCCAGCCTCAGGTCCTGAGATTTCCCCTTCATCCCTGTGGCAGAGCAGCTGGCTTTTTCCCCTCTCCACAGGTGCTGCCATTGCTGGAGTTTACAGAGCTGCGGGGAAAAAAATGATTCCCTTTGAGGCCCTCATTTTTGGCGTGGGCCAGACGTTCTGTGTGGTGGTAGTTTCGTTCCTGCGCATTCTGGCCACTCTGTAGCTCCTCTGGAGAGGCTGGAGAACACAAACCAGTGGGGGAACAAAGGACCTGCTGCCTCAGAACAAACCACAGGGAGCACAGTCCAGCCTTTTGCTTCTTCCACCGATTTAAGGAATTGGGAGAGCTTGCTCCTGCCTCCAGCCTGGCTTGAAATTTAAAAATTGTGAATTTTGTTACTTTTTGGTAACATTAAGTGCCAAGTGAAATTTATTTATCTGGAGGGTAGGAAAATAGCTACCAGAGGAGGAGACCTGTGTACCTTTCACCAGTGATGAATTGTAGTAACAGGACATGACTAAAATTTGACACCAGCTGTGCTGGGGTAGGAGCAGGACCAGAATGACATTGTGTCCTCACTGCTCACTCACCGCTTTGTTGCTTGGTTTTGAGTGAACTTGAACCTCTTTTAATGTCAGGTTTTTTAAATTAAAAAATTAATTTCTTTTCTTCCTAGCCCAAACTTCTTAATATCAGGTTATAGCCATAGTGGATTTGGGAGCAGCAAAAGAATAACTCATTTTAGATGGATGAGAGTACAAATTTGTGTCTAGGAGCTTTGGGTGTGAATGCTGCGCAGGGGAAATGACTGCTCTAAAAAAGATTTTGTGAATTTTATTACAGCAAAACCCTTCTGGCCCTGTGAATGTTCTGCCCAGAGGCAGAACACAGTAGAATGGGCACTCTAGAAATCCCAGGTATGCATGTGGGCATGCACAGCTTCTCCTCAGGCTTTGAAGGAGACTCAGGTTTTCAAACGACCCTGTTCTCCTTTGACTTGCTGATGCCGTTCATGTTGGTGTGGTGGAGCTGGGTGTGCACTGATCTGGAAGTGGCACTGGCCAGCTTGGATAAAACCCCTCATGCTGCTGCTGCTGCTGCTGAGAGCTGCATGGCCAGGCTGGGTTGTGACCAGGGGTGTCCCCAATGTGAGGAGTGTGCCACGTTTTCAGCATCCAGCAAACAGCATGCTGGGGCCTGGGAGAGCTGCAAGGCTCCTCACAGGAGCCTGGCTGGTTCCTGTGTCCAAGTGAACACAGCACCAAATCAACCCCTATCCACATGCAGTACTATCTCCTCATGAATTATTTTAGTTTGTTTTGGTTTTAAGTGACTAATTGGTAGCTCTGCTCTTGTGCCCCGAATTGTGCCATATGGCTGGGGCATTTGAGCAGCTAACTGGCTGCTTCCTGGGGCTTGGTTCTTTAGAGAAGCTGAAGTTGAATTCCAGAGATGTGGTTGGGCAGTGTAGCCAGCCCTAGGGGTTTGCTGTGGTCTGTGTTTGTATGTGTTGGCTGCAGAGGGAAAAGTGCTGTCTGTGTCCAGCTTTTCAGGGGACAGTTCCCATCTGTATCTTCATTGAATTCCCCTGGTTTCCAAATCAGTTCCTTTTGTACCTGCAGCGTTCCCATGACCCTGTGTCCTCAGTGCTGGAATGACTGGATGTGGCACTCAATACCATGGTCTGGATGACAAGGTGGTGACCAGTCAAACGTTGGACTCAGTCTCAGAGGGCTTTTCTAAATGAAATTGATTCTGTGATACTTCAACAGGGCACTCTGTTTATCATAGAAAAGGGTTTCCCTGTACACGGACTTCTCAGGAGTGGTCTGTTGACAGTGAGAGATGTTTTGCAGGAGCTACTTACTGAGATTATTCTAAATTTTAGCCAATGTTAATTCAGGGAATAGAGATGCACAGTTTAGGAAATAATTTACTGTGAATCCTTCTCCTTACACCAAGTGGTGTAACATACTAAACCCTGGATCTGTGTGCTGTGCTGCTTCTAAAGAGCCAGTCTTCCTGCCAGGGCAGAAACAGTGAAAAAGAAGAAATAAGCTTGATTTCTTTTCCCTCTTTCCACTTTGTATTTCAGCATTTGTACCGAGTGCACAGTTTAATTTACAGGAATTATCTTGTGTTTTCCTGGATGGACTAAAAATATCCCATAGAATTTGGATAGCGTGGGTCTGGCTTTACCTTTCAGGTGACACCAGAAACCAGTGTCCTGAGCACCTGCTGTGCTCTCCTTTCCCCTGTCCTGGTGCCTGGCACCACTCAATAGCCATTAAGCTGATTGCAACTGAGAAAGCACTTTATCCCTGTGCCCTGTGCTACAGCAAGAGGATGTTTCCTTGCAGGAACAGAGCTGAGAGGTGCAGGACACAAATTGAGCTGTTACAAAGCTCAGAACAAGTGAAAAATTGCTCAGTAAAGTCACTCAGTGCTGGGTGAACTGAAAACCTCCAGTTTCTATCCCTTGGGATCTCCAAGAGTCTGTTTTGAGGGAGTTCTGGTTTACTTGAAGAGTTGGCAGCTTGACCCTGTTTGAAGTGTTTGGAGCTGGCAGTGTCTCTCTGTGCCTGGATACTGTGAAATTTTCAGGGAATTCTTGCATAAAAGGTGAACAATCAGCTGATTTGTTTCGACATATTAGCACAGGAGGCAAGTTCTTTGTGTCACCTTGGTGCTCACAGAGCATCCTCCACTCTGCTGGCAACCCCCCTCTCCAGATAAACCAGAGCTAAACAGAGAGGAAGAGTAGCCTTGAGTTGAAGCACTGGTTGCAGTTTCCTTCCCTCATTGATTTGGCCATCCCTTTCCATTCCTTTATTCCAAGTGAGACATGTGGAGGGATCCCTTCAGTTTTCATCAGGTATTGGTAGACTTTGATCAATCAAACTTGCCAAAAACTGCAAAAAGCCAGCAAAAACATCAACACTGAGGTGTCCTGGGCTGGGCAATGCTGTGAGCCTCTGCTGGGGAGCCCAGCCAGTGTACTGGTTAAGGAAACACCTTCTGGAGAAGCTGCCTGCCCTGGAGGAACAGCCGCTTATGCTGGGGCTTGTGGCCCTGTTCCCTGTGTGTGACATCCCCCTGCTCCCACCTGGCTTCCTTTCGTTCACAGCTGCAGCTACCATGAACAAATCTTTATATGATTGAAAATTCTGTACATTTTATTTTTCTACTGACACTCTTAATGCTGGTGGTGATTATCAGTAAATTCTGTAACTCGAGGTGAATGAATCGTGTGTATTTCTTCTGCAGCATGACAAGGGGGCCTGGGTTGTGTTTTTGCAAATGAGCGGCACTCCTGCTTTGCTTGGGACCATCTGCACCAGAAATGTCCTGCTTCTGGTGATAAATGTTGTCTCCATTAGGAGCTGGACCTGCATCTGCAGCCAGGCACCACAGTCTGAGGTGACAGCTCCCTGCTGTTCAGTTGTTGGGGACAGGCTTAGCTGTTGTCCCTGTCCCTGTGGGGACATGATGGGGCCCTGCAGCCCCTAGACTTGGTGCTGACCTGCTCCCAGCCCCGTGGGTTGTTCCCTTCCTGGGCCAGCGTTCAGTCCCTGCACACTACTTGGGCTCTCCTGGGTGTGCAGGTGACCCCACATCTCCCCTGCCTGGCTCTGGCTAACCCCAGGCCAGAGCAGCACCTGCACTGCAGGGCTGGCATTGCTCTTTATTGATGTACAACCTACAGAGCCTGGAACAGGCCAAACAAGTGTTTGTAAGAGGGTGGCAGCTGTGCCTGGTGGGCATTTCCAGAGGGCTGGTAACTACCATGCCTTCACTGCTCCCCCAGACTCCCAGAGGAGCATGCACCAGGATCAAAACTAGCCTGAAAAATTCACATCTCAAGTCATCAGGGATCCAGGAGATTTTATTGGCAGTAAAAGGTCAACACATTCTCTTGGTTTCCTCGTGTGAGGATGATAGGGGGTCTCAGGTCCTGCGAGAGGGTCTCGAGCCAGGCCATGTAGAGGGAGCTGGGGCAGCGTCCCTTCCTGCCGATGGGCGGAGTGCTGCGGCACAGCAAGGGGCGTGAGGCAGGAGGCAGGGCCGGCACAGAGCCCCACCACAGCCCCTCTCTCAGTCCATTGCAACACCACATCCTCCCACCCGGCAGCACCCAGGCTGGAGTCCTTGGTGTCTTCCAAGGGATTTTCCCTGTAGTGCAGCACTGTCTCACCACAGCATTAGGGTGTCTGTGCAGGATCTCCCCACCCAGGGAGGGGTGAACATCCAAGAGGGACCATTCCCATGGGGCAAGAAACGGGCGTGAGGGCATTACTGGAACCTACATGGCTATGAGTGCTGCATCCCGCGAGTAATCCAGCAAAATCTCATTCAGCCTCACTTGTCGGAGCGACTGTGGAGCAAAGAGCATTGAGAAACACAAAATAATGGTTTCCAGAAAGACTGAATTTTGTCTAAAAAGCAGGAGACCCTTTGCAGGAGCTCCCCCAGCACTGGTGGTACCTTGGCTCTGTTTTTATCGACCTCCTCATCGGAAATCTTCCAGGGACAGCCCCGTCTCATCTCATTCACTGTGGCCTCATCTTTGAAGCCATCGTTCAGCCTGAAGGGAGCGATGAGTTCATCAAACCTCTTGATGCTGCAACACAAGCAGACAGTGCCGAGGAATAGGGTCTGGGCAGGTTTGGGGGTGCTGGGGGGGCACGGGGAAGGGGAGGGGCGTGGTTACTGCTCTGGCCGGGGTTTCTGGTTGATGTCAGGGAGGATGTGGACCTCATGGAAGCCGAGGCGGAACTTGCTCAGCAGAGAGACAATCCTATTGGAGGGAAAAGGACACATTTTCCCAAAGTTAGCAGGGAATAGTAGCTCTGACAGGGACCTGCCACAGCAGAAAACCCTGCTGCTGGCCTCAGTTTGCACTTTGGGTTTTCCCACTCTGCAGCCACACTGATTTCCAGAGACATGAAGCAAAACAGACAGGTCAGAGCTCACAGACCCCATTATGGCAAAATTGTGAGGGCTCAGCGGGATGGGAGGCAGCTTATGTCACCACCCATGGGACAGTGGCAGTGGCCAAATGGCTAAGAGGTGCAGTGGCTGCCAGCACTTACGCCTTCCTTTCCTCGTCCATCCTGTTGATCTGCCCGCCGACAAACACCCGGATTTTGCACTTTCCCCACCGCTTCTTGCGCCCCAGGAGGTAGGGGATGAGCAGCGTGAGACCTGTCCCCAAAACACCCGGTGGGAGATGCAGCAGTGACCCCCAGGCTCACCAGTGTTTCCTTGATGCCAAAGGCCTGGCCTGGCCTGGATGCTCTGGCCCCATTTGGCAGAGACTGAGGCCTCTTGGGCACTGTGATGGAGGTGCTGGGCTCACATTATCTGGACAGATGGAAGCTGAGGGTTACCTCCATCATCAAAGAGCCAGTAAATGTCAATGGTCTTCTTGCCCTGCTCGCTCTGGAAGATGGTGCTTGCTTGCTGCTCACTGGCCAACGTGGTGGGGTCCACTGCCGGGGCAAGAGGGTCCTGGCGTCAGCAAAGGACACCACCGGCCACAGATTTAAGGCATCGCTTCCTCCTGGTCCCAGCCCTGCTCCCTATCAGTGCTTGAGACCCCCACTCTGCCTGTAAAATTATCCTCAGACCTGGGGATGCTCTGGGCAGTCACAAGCCAGGACCAACCTACCTGTGCCTGCTTTGCTGCCAGTGCCATTCTCAGGATGCTCTGCTGCCTCGAACGTGGGGTTAACTGAGGAGGGAGGAGAAAAGCAAGGGCAGCACAGCAGTGCCTCTCTGTCCCCATCCCCTTTGATCCCAGCACAGGAGTGACGTCCTGCCAGGACTGTGACCTTTGTCTGGGGACATGGTGCTGGCTGGCACATCCCACAGCTCCATATCTCTGTGCATCCCTGGCTGCCCAAAACCACTTACCATGTGCCTGCAGCACTCGGGAAACGTTCAGCCCTTCCTTCATCCGCATCAAGCACACGCCGTACTTGAAATCAAAAGCATCACTGGGAGGAGGGAGGAGAAGGCAGTTAATGAGGGGTGGCACTGTCAGCCCAGATGGACCCTGGGCCCCTGGCTGCAGCCCTCAGAGACCATGGGGCCACCACCAGTGCCAGTGTCCCCGAGAGGCAGAGGAGCTGGTGTGGCCATACTGCAGGATGCCCACGTAGTCCTCCAGGCTCTGTGGAGATGCTGTCTGCCAGTTCCTCTTGTAGCCCAGCACTAAGATGTTAGGTCTCATCTTCCCAAGGCCAGCAGCCTACGGATAGATGGCCCCATGAGACCCCTCTGCAGGGACACATGGACACAGGTGGTGTCAGTCCACTCCATGGGGGAGCAACACAAAGGGGGGTGCCTGGAGATCATCGAGATGGGTCAGAGCTCCCCCAAGCTGTGACAAAGAGGAGGGACCCTGCTGCTGGAAGGCCAATGGTGGCTGTACCTGGATGAGCATTTGGACACCACTTCTCAAATCCTCAGCCACCACATCCGTGTAGAAAGCCTTGATCTTCCTCTTTGTTAGCCACTTAGTGTGGCCGTCTGCCATCAGCCGGGACTCTGGCATCTTCTGCTTCCGCGGTCCCTGCAGGAATCAGGGGCAGGAGCTCAGTCAGCCCCTTCCAGCTGGTGGTCTTGCCACCAAGGACTTCTAGCTCCTCTCTTCCCAAATCATTGGCAAGGGGTGAATGTAACCACTGCACACATGGGAGGTTGCAATCACACCCAAGAAAACCAGTGAGTCCAGGGAGTTGACAGCCAGTGCACACAATCCTGTGGGTACAGATGAGCTGGTTCTTACTGCACCCAATTGCTCTGGAGAGTTCAGGGCTGCAGGACCCCCATGCCCTCTGAGCAACTATTTCATCCTTCCAAATCTTCCACAATTAATTGGCAAAGGGAAGTCATTAAGTCCAGAGGGACATACTGATGCTTCACCAATATTGTTTAACAACTCAGAGAGGCTTTCAGTTGACACATTTCATCATCCAGCAGCACACAAGTGGGCACATTTCAATCTCCACCCTGTGAGCCCACCAGGATACAACTGGATTTCCCAGCCCACCACCCACTGGTGGCCAGAGCCCCCAGGACAAGGAACCAACCAGCTTCTGCAGGTGACTCACAATCAGCACGTTGCCACAGAGCATCAGGCTGAGGTTCTTGGTGAAGGTCCCCACAAAATCCACCAGTGCCGGGCGGAAGTTGGGTGGGCCAGTCAGCACCAGGCACTGCGGTCTGCAGGCAGGGGAAACAGGGAGTGAGGAATGATACTTTGGAGACATACAGCCTCTTTGGAATGAACCATTTCTCTTCTCCCATGCTTGGCCAGTGGCAACTATAGGGAGCATCTTCAGAATGAGAAAACATTATGTGACCTGAGGTTTCACTCTTTGGTCTTTTTCTATCAGATGAGACCAATGTGTCTGTGTCTGCCTGGTACAGGGAGGGCAGGGTTTGCCCAGTTTTCTACCTTACGTGGCACAGACATGGAATTTTGGAGACAGACATTTTGCTGTAACTCCTGGTTACTGAGGGTGGTGGTGAGGTTGTGGCCATGGGCATGAAGCCTCCCTGGGTTTACCGGAGGCAAGAGCTAGCTCTTCATCCCACTCCTTCAGTGCCCAGCACTATAATGAGCTGCCCTTGCCTGTAGTTCTTGATGTGCTCATCCACTTCAATCAGCCCCACTGAGTAGTTGAGAGCCATGTTGTAGGAGCTGGCTTGCATGGAGGAGCCCCAGTTGACATCTGCATGGGGAAGATGGATTAGCAACAGGGCCAGACACCTTCCAGGGCATCGCTGGTGCCAGGTTACCACCCCCCACCTGGCTTTTTGTAGAGGACATATCCCAGGAGGAAGATGACGATGCCGAAGGCAATGAGTGCTGCCCACCAGGTCAGCAGGAACATGATCACCACTGAGACAGCTGCTCCAAAGAGAGCAGCCCACTTGCTGTAATACCGAAAGGAGGGTCGCCAGCCTGCACGCAAACACACACAGCGGGCGCTGCTGGGACGGGGAGCCGCACGCGGAGCCGGCCCCCGCAGGGCACGGCGTGCCTGGCACAGCCCACCTGGGGAGTTGGTGATGGAGGCGTGGAAGCAGCTGAAGTTGATGAGGGCGTAGGAGCAGAGGAAGAAGTTGGAGATGATGGGGGCGATGGCATTGAGCTCAGCTGTGGAAAGAGCAGAAGGACAGTGAGATGTCAGTGGTGGGGACTGAGCCACCCTGCTGGGGGCTACGGGGG